AAATTAACAAGTCAGGAAACAACAGATGTTGGCGAGGATGCAGAGAAAGGGGAACCCTCTTACACTGTTGGTGGGAATGCAAGCTGGTGCAGTCACTCTGGAAAACAGTATGGAGGTTCCTCAAAAAGTTGAAAATAGAGCTACCGTACAACCCAGCTATTGCACTACTGGGTATTTACCCCAAAGATACAAATGTAGTGATCCGAAGGGGCACATGCACCCTAATGTTTATAGCAGCAATGTCCACAATAGCCAAACTATGGAAAGAGCCTAGATGCCCGACAGATGAATGGATAAAGAAGATGTGGTATATATATACAATGGAATATTATGCAGCCATCAAAAAATGAAATCTGGCCATCTGCCAATGACATGGATGGAACTAGAAGGTATTATGCTATGCAAAATAAGTCAATCAGAGAAGGACAATTATATGATCTCACTAATATGTGGAATTTAAGAAATAAGGCAGAGGATCATAGGGAAAGAGAGGAAAAAATAAAACAAGATGAAACCAGAGAGGGAGACAAACTGTAAGAGACTCTTAATCTCAGGAAACAAACTGAGGGTTGCTGGAGTGGAGGGGGGTGAGAGGGATGGGGTGGCTGAGTGATGGACACTGGGGAGGGTATGTGCTATGGTGAGTGCTGTGAATTGTGTTAAGACCGATGAATCACAAACCTGTACCCCTGAAACAAATAATACATTATATGTTAATTAAAAAAAATAAATGGAGAAAAAAGTTAAATATAGAATAACCATATGATTCATAAATTCCACTCCTTTGTACAAACCCCAAAGAACTGAAAACAGGAACTCAAACAGGTACTTATAGGCAAATGTTCACTGCAGCACTATTTACAATGGCCAAAAAGCAGAAACAACCAAAATATCCATCAACTGATGAATGAATAAACAAAATGTGGTATAAATATATAATGGGATATTATTCAGGCAAACAAAGGAACGAAGTTCTGATACTTGCTACAACATGGATGAACCTTGTAAACATTACACTAAGTGAAAGAAGCCAGACACAAAAGGATAAATATCGTGTGATTCCACATAGATGAAATATCTAAAATTGGCAAATTCATAGAGATACAAAGTAGATTAGAGGTTACTAGGGGCTGAGCGCAGGGGGTAGTGGGGAGTTATTTCTTAAAGGGTAGAATTTCTGTGTGGGGTAATGAACAAGTTTTGGAAATAGTGGTGATGGTTGTACAACCACTGTGAATATCATTAATGCCACTGAATTGTACACTTAAAACTGTTAAAATGGAAAATTTTATGCTATGTATATTTTACCACAGTAACAAAACGAAGGCAAAGGAAATATTTTTTACACAAACAAAAGATGAGAAAATTCATTCACTCGAATTTTGATGAAAGAGAAAATTCGTGCTCTACAAGAAATGATAACAGAAGTTCTCCAGGCAGAAGGAAATGATACCATGTGGAAATTTGGATCTGTACAACAGAATGTAGAGTGCCAGAAATAGTAAATATACTGGTAAATGCAAAAGACATTTTTTTAATCTCTTCAAAAGATAACTGGCTCTTGGAAGCAAAACTGACAACAATGGGGTTTATAGCACATGTAAAAGCAAAATGGATGACCACAAGAGAACAAAGGATGAGAGGGAAAAAATGAACATATACTACTGTAATGTTCTTATACTACACATGAAGTGATATATTTAGTTGAAGGTAGAATGACATTTAAAATATATTTTATAGGGGCACCTGGGTGGCTCAGTCAGTTGAGTGTCTGCCTTTAGGTCATGATCCCAGAGGCTTGGGATGGAGCCTTGGGCTCCCTGCTCAGTGGGGAGTCTGCTTCTCCCTCTGCCCCTCCCCCTGCTCATGCACCCTCTCCCTCTCTCTCTCAAATAAATAAAATCTTTTAAAAATTTCAAAAATAAAATGTATTTATATACCCCAGGGACACTTTGCTGGCTCAGTCAGTGGAGCATGACTTGATCTCGGGGTTGTAAGTTTGAGCTCCACATTCAGTATAGAGATTAATTTAAAAAATAAAATCTTTGGGGCACCTGGGTGGCTCAGTTGTTGGGCGTCTGCCTTTGGCTCAGGTCATGATCCCAGGGTCCTGGGATCAAGCCCTGCATTGGGCTCCCTGCTCAGCAGGAAACCTGCTTCTCCCTCTCCCCCTCCCCCTGCTTATGTTCCCTCTCTGGCTGTGTCTCTGTCAAATAAATAAATAAAAATCTTTAAAAAAAATCTTTTTTAAAAATGTATTTTATATACTCCAGAGCAACAACTAAAGAAATAAAGGAATAACTAATACCCCAATAGTGGAGACAAAATGGAATTATGAAAAATAGTCAATCCAAAGGAAAGCAGGGAGACAAGAACAAAGTAACAGAGAGGATGGGACAAATAAGAAATATATAGCCCAGATGATAGCTTCAAACTCAACCATACTGATAATTACATTAAATGTAAATGTTGTAAACACCCAATTAAAATGTAATGATCAGATTGGATAAAATACTAAGACTCAACTACATGTTGTCTACAAGATACTCACTTAAATATAAAGAAGCAGATAGTTAAAAGTAAAGGGATGGGAGGGACACCTGGGTGGCTCAGTCAGTTAAGCATCTACCTTCGGCTCAGGTCATGATCCCGGGGTCCTGGGATTGAGTCTGCATCGTGCTCCCTGCTCCGCAGGGAGCCTACTTCTCCCTCTGCCTCTGTCTCTCTGTCTCTCATGAATAAATAAACAAAATCTTAAAAAAAAAAAAAAAAGTAGGAGGCGGGGCCGGGCCCTGGGCAGAAGACCTGAGGGCCGAGGGCTTGGATCCGGGAGAGGTTAAACACTTTAAGATGAGAAAAATTGATCTGTGTTTGAGGTGAGGGGACTGAAGTGATTTTAGCTACATCAAGTGATGAAAAACACCCACCTGAAAATATTATTGATGGGAATCCAGAAACATTTTGGACCACAACAGGAATGTTTCCCCAAGAGGTTCATTATTTGTTTTCACAAACATGTAAGGATTGAAAGGCTTGTAATCCAAAGTTACTTTGTGAGGACCTTGAGGATTGAAAAGAGCACATCTAAAGAGCCAATTGATTTTGAGCCGTGGATTGAAAGAGATCTAGTCCACAAGGAGGGGCAGCTTCAAAATGAAGAAATTATGACCCGAGATGGCCACACCACTCATTTGAGATTCATTATTATATCAGCCTTTGATCATTTTGCATCTGCGCATAGTGTTTCTGCAGAGGGCCTAGCAGTCTCAAATCTTTCTTAGTAATTATAACAAAATACTCTTGCATGGTTTTTTTAACAATATATTTATTTAAACATGAAGTTGTCATTGATATGCCTTATTAAAGGGATTTGTATTTAAAAAAAAAGTAAAGGGATGGGAAAATGTCTATCGTACAAATAAAAATCAAATGAAAGCTGAAGTGGCTATACTGAAAATAAGAAACAGACAAATCCATAATTGTAATCTTCTGAAAGAAGATTCAAATATTTGAAAACAAAAAGAGTCCTAGTACTGTGTTCAGAGTGTTTAATCTTTTGAATATGTGACTTACAGTTCCTTTGATTAAGGGACTAGCAAGCAGATTTCCCTCATCAGAGACTGATATACTCATAGGTTCCCCACCACACCCTGATGGGTCACATTTATAGTAACACCCATATCTTCAAGCTTTGGTTCCAAGATCTCCCTCTATAGTTATTTTTCTAAGGGTTTTAGAGGTGGGGGTGGAAATATTTATTATTGATATCATCAGAACAGCTGCCAACAGCTCTGTAAGCCATCAGCATTCGTTTCAGCTGCTACTGCTGGTCTGCTGGCTGTTGTCACCCTGTTGTCCACAGGCCAATGCCCACATTGCTGCCAACTAATCATGATGGCGCTTAGGTTGCTGCTGACCTTTTCTTTTCTTCAGTGTCATGGCTGCCTGCCTGGCCACTACCTCAGCAGCTGCAGTTGCTGCCAACCTTTAGTGCTCAAAACCCTCTGGACAAAGGGATAATTCCTCTATCACAACCAGAGGGAATTCCCACAGCAGAGATGTTGAGCTCGTAAAGACTCAAGTCATTCCTTGACACTACAGATCCCCCCTTCACTGAACAGACTTTCTGAGAGACTCAGAAAGTGTTCAGGATTCCTGACCACCACAGTCCATACAGTTTAGAAACACAAGTGAGGTGACATACCATCAAAGGCATCTTCAATAATAGTATTTTTCAAAGTAAAAATACTATTATCTATGTTTCCAGACTTTGTGGACATTCTATATACAGCCTGGAACCACTGCTCTTAACAAAACCCAGCTATGCTGTTTGGTCCAGCCCACTCCTGTAGATCCCAGCTAATGATATATCTTTCCAATGATTCTGACTTTTTCAGAAATCCTTAGGCTATCTGGGAGCACACATTTTGAATTCTAAATATGGACCAGGTTCCAATTCTTGCCTTACCTGCACTCCTAGGCCTCCTCCATACCTCATGTTTCAGTATCTGTCAACACCACAAAAGCCTTTATTTTTTTAAAGATTTTATTTATTTATTTGACAGAGAGAGATAGTAAGAGAGGGAACACAAGCACCGGGGGAGCTAGAGAGGGACAAGCAGGCTGGAGAGGGAGAAGTAGGCTCCCAGCTCAGGGGATAATGGGGTTCGATCCCAGGATGCTGGGATCATAACACAGGCCTAAGGCAAATGCTCAAAGACTGAGCCACCCAGGGGCCCCACCACATGGGCATTTAAAACACTATACTAAAAAACAAAAAGCAAAACCAACAAACAAAAACGAAAAAGCCCCACTATGCTACTGGGGCACCTTGGGTGGCTCAGTGGGTTAAGTGTGTGACTCTTGACGTCCACTCAGGTCATGATTTCAGGGTTGTGAGACTGAGCCCTGCATTGGGCTCTCCACTCAGCAGGAAGTCTCCTTGAGATTCTCTCCCTCTGCCTCTCCCCCTGCTCCTCTCTCTCTAGAAGTGAATAAATAAATCTTTAAAAAATAAATAAATAAAAATAAAGCATGGGGCGCCTGGTTGGCTCAGTCATTAAGCGTCTGCCTTCGGCTCAGGTCATGATCCCAGGGTCCTGGGATCGAGCCTTGCATCGGGCTCCCTGCTCGGCAGGAAGTCTGCTTCTCCCTCTCCCACTCCCCCTGCTTGTGTTCCCTCTCTCGCTGTCTCTCTCTCTCTGTCAAATAAACAAATAAAATCTTAAAAAAAAAAAAAAAAGCGCTATACTATTGTTGAAAGGCTGGTCTGGAGTAAGCACACAGAGGACCTCTAGGGGGAAGCGTTGTATTGCTACACTCCAGCCTAATAGTGTCTCATCTTTAACCCAGCTAAAATACTATTATGTAAATTTATTATTATACACACAAGTAAACTAACACTAATTTACAATAAACACTGCTTTTAAGATTGGATTGCAAACCCTTCAGAATCATTAAACATTGGAAATATTACAATGCTCCTTCCTACCCCTGTATAAAAAATAAAAATAAAATCAATACCGATGTTAAATCAAGTGTAAGAAATTCCAGCAAAGTTGCTTTTTCTCAAGATAATTTACTCAATACTGTTTTAGAATACCAAATATCAAGAGGTGCCTGACTGGCTGTCGGTAGAGTATGAGACTCTTGATCTTGGGGTTGTGAGTTTAAGCCCCATGTTGAGTGCAGACATTACTTAAAAATAAAATCTTAAAAAAAAATAGAATATCAAATATTAAATTATTTCAAAAGTCTTTTTATTTTGCTACTCTTACTCTGTTGGTATGCTAAACAAGTACTTAGTGTCCCTTTCTGTCAGTGTTGACTCTTGTAAATATATAATTTTCCACTTGTGTAATTCTTTAGAATACCTCTCCCTAAAATTGGAATTAGTCAAAGGGCATAAAATTAAAAATTTCAAAAGATGGGGCACTTGGGTGTCTCAGACGGTTAAGCGTCTGCCTTCTGCTCAGGTCATGATCTCCGGGTTCTAGGATCAAGCCCGGCATCGGGATTCCTGCTCAGCAGGGAGTCAACTACTCTCTCTCTCTCTCTCTCTCTCTCTTTCTCTCCCTCCCCCTCTGCCCCTCCCCACTGCTCATTCATTCTCTCTCAAATAAATAAATGTTTTTAAAAACAAAATAAAATTTCAAAAGATATTGCCAAATTGTCCTCCTTAAGAACTGCATGAATTTGTACATTTACTAACAATATATAAGAATGCCTATTTTCTCACTCCCTTACTGGATTTCATTAATCTTTTATGTCTTCGCCAAACTAGTAGGTGAACATGATGACCTCTGTTATATGTGTTAATTTCTATTTATTTAAGTATTAGTGTGGCTGACCATCTTTCTATATTGGCTATTTTAATTTCATTTTCTGTAATCTATGCACATCTTTTACCCAATTTTTTATAGGGTTGTTTTATATTCTTAAGATTTTTTTGTATAGGAGCACTTGGGTGGCTCAGTCAGTTAAGCATCTGCCTTCGGCTGAAGTCATAATCCCAGAGTCCTGGGATCGAGCCCTGCATTGGCTGCCTGCAGAGAGATGCCTGCCGCTCTGCCTACTTGTGCTCTCTCTCTCTATCTCTCTGTCAAATACATAAATAAAATCTTTTAAAAAATAAAATACTTATCAAAATCCTAGAGGAGAACACAGGCACCAACCGCTTCGACCTCAGCCACAGCAACTTCTTGCTAGACACATCGCCAAAGGCAAGGGAAGAAAGGGCAAAAATGAACTATTGGGACTTCAGCAAGATAAAAAGCTTTTGCACAGCAAAGGAAACAGTCAACAAAACCAAAAGACAACCGACAAAATGGGAGAAGATATTTGCAAATGACATATCAGATAAAGGGCTAGTATCCAAAA